GCACCAGCCTCTCAGTGCTGAGTTGCGTGAGCAGTGGACGTGAGCTCTGGGGGCCCTGTCCCAGTACTGCCTGGGGGACAGCAAGCCTGGGCGGGGGTGTAACAGGAGGGGCCCTCGTGGCCTGAAGGCTGCCCGCCCAGTGGGGAAGGGCCTCTGTGTCTCCTCCACAGGGTGGGGCTGTCCCTGGCGGTGTCTCCATGATCAGTGGGTTGACCACTAGGAGGCCGTAGTGGAGCCGCTTGAGCCTGGCCAGGAAGTCCCCCCCCCCCGCCCCCGCCCCTCGAGGGTGCACGGGGGCCACGAGGCTCAGACACGGCCCCTGGCTCTCAGGACCCTGCTCTGCCTATCACGTCCAGGATCCCCGCGCTGGGGCCTGGGAACAGCTAAGTGACAGGTGACAGTGAGCAGCAGGCCTGGGCTGTCCTGTCCGGCTGTGCCTGGGGAGGTGGGCGGCGGCCCGTGGAGCCTGTGCCCTCACGCTAATCTGATTTCAGCCTGATCAGGTCGGAGGAGGCTGAAAAGGGCCTGGGACTAGAGGACATAGGCGGTCCCGCCTCTCGGCACAGTGGCCAAGCCTCAATGAGGGATTGCTTGGACCTCCCCCGCACCCCCCCCGCCCCATGTCTGGGGCTGGGGGAGCCCTCGCCCCACAGGATGCCCTCAACCAATACAACGGCGCTGCCTCCGGTCTGGGCCACTTGTCAAGGGGCCAGGTTTCCCGGGACAGACCCTTACTGTGGCCAGAGGGCCCCGCCAGCCGAGGAGACAGAAGAATGCCACTTACCCCTGAAGCCACAGGGACACGGCCGGCTGTCAGGCCTTCTCTGGCCACAAGACAAGGGTGGGCAACTTCTGGCTTCACGCTGGCCGCTGCCCCCGCCCACTGTCACCCAGCCTGTGGCTGAGACGTGCCTGCAGCCGCTTCAGCCCTGGTCCCCTCACCCTCACCCCTCAGGAGTCTCTGTCCCAGAATCAGAAGCCGATTCTGCTGGGAGTGAGGGACCACGTGGCTCTGATTGGCCAGGCTCCGACGACACACCCTCCCAGCCCAGGGGTGGAGGGGAAGGAGGGGACTGGAGGAGGTGAGTCTCTGGGCCTCACTTCCCCTAATTGTACAATGAGGGAGACGGTGACCATATCCCTTATTCAAACGGGGCCACGTATGGGAGTGAAAGGGATGCTGTTGGTAAGCACACCGGACAAGGGGGACCCAGGACTCAGGGCATCCTGGAGGTAGGCCCCATCCTCTCAAAGGGCCGTCACCGCTCTGGAAGCACACGTGGGTTCAACTCTTCGCTTGGCCACCTTCTAATCTGGAGCCAAAGTTCTCTGCTGCCTGGACGTCAGTTACCTTACCTGTGAAATGGGGTGAATTCCTGGAGGGAGGGCAGAGGCTGCAGCGCGGCGCCAGGCGCACAGGCACCCGTGGACCGCTGCCGGCCCGGGTGCTTTCTCCCAGTCCTGCCGTGCCCCTTGCCCTGCGGTCCGAGCCTGTCTGTGCCAGCCTGGGGTGGGCCCAGACCACACAGGGAGCGGTTCTGGAAGGTGAGGGGCCCGAGTGGCCACATTGGGGGTGGGGCCAGGCTGGGCAGACACTGTGCCCACGGGTCGCCTGCCCCGCCTGAGCCCCCAAGGGAAGCCTGGCCTTGCCGGCTGCCATTATGGTTAGGAGCTGTGTAATTAACTCTAAAACTGGGAGGCCGAGGAGGAATTAAAATAGAGGTTTAGTGGAAATCAGAGACAAGTGGTGCAGAAAAGGCTGGAGCCGGCTGGACGCCGCAGCCGGGCCTGCAGGGTGGGCGGGAAGAGGGTCTGGAGCTGCAGGGCTGAGGGGGCCGGCGCAGCTCTGGTTCAGGCCCCTTCTCCGGGTGGGGGGCGGGGGTGGGTTGAAACAGCTGAAGTCACGGTTCTGGGCGTCTGCGATCCAGGTGGCCGCAGGGTGGGCTGTCTCTTGGGGTCTTGGTGGAAGAGTGTGTCCCGGCCCCTCCCCCAGTTCCTGGTGGGTCCTGGGCTCCCGGGAGCATCACCTTAGTCTCCACTTCCGTCGTCACGTGGCCTCCTCCCTGTGGGTCTGTTTTGTGAATTAAAATTTACCATTGGGCCTTCCCTGGCGGTCCGGTGGTTAAGGTGCCGCGCTTGCAATGCAGGGGGCGCGGGTTCGATCCCTGGTTGGGGAACGAAGATCCCACGTGCCGCGGGGCGGGGTGCGGCCAAAACCACAAATCTACCCTCTTCTTCTGGGGGTCCATTGTGTGTGTTATGCTTCACAATAAAACAGGTTAACACCAATAACAGACAAACAAATTTACCTTTTTAACCGTTTTTAAGTGTACAATTCAGTGGCATTGAGTACATTGACAATGCTGTGTAACAGGCAGAACTTGTTCATCTTCCCAAAGTGAAACTCTGTCCCCATTAAACACTAACTCCCCAGCCTCCGCCCTCTTTCTGTCTCCATGGATTTACTTATCCTAGGTCCCCGCATGTCAGGGAAATCCTACAGTATTTGTCTTTTTGTGTTTGTGTTTCTTCAAAAATGTCCGGTCAAGGAAGACAAAGACTGGAGTGTTTTAGGTCCACACGTTCAAACCAGTAGCTGTAGCCGGTTTTGCTATTAAATTTAAATTCATTAGAATACAGTTACATTAAAAGTGCAGTTGTTGGGCTTCCCTGGTGGCTCAGCGGTTAAGAATCCGCCTGCCGATGCAGGGGACACGGGTTTGAGCCCTGGTCCGGGAAGATCCCACATGCGGCGGAGCACCTAAGCCCGCGAGCCACAACTACTGAGCTCACGTGCCACAACTACTGAGCCCATGCGCCACGAGCCCATGCTCCGCAACAAGAGAAGCCACCGCAACGAGAGGCCCGCGCACCGCAACGAAGAGTAGCCCCTGCTTGCCGCAGCTAGAGAAAGCCTGCGCGCAGCGACAAAGACCCAACGCAGCCAAAAATAATGAATAAATTCATTTTAAAACAAAGTGCAGTTGTTCAGCTGGACTGGCCACATCTCAAGCGCTCAGCGGGCACGTGTGCCTGATGCTGCCCTACTGGACGGTGCACACAGGACATTTCCATCCTTCCAGAAAGTTCTGTTGGAGAAAGCTCTTCTAGGTTCATGGAGACAAAAGGGACGTGATGACTAAAATCGTGTGTGGGACGAGATTGGATGCTGGGCCAGAATATTTTTTTTTTCTATCAGGACGTTTTGATTGTCCTTTATCTTTATCTATTGAAGAAATGTGAGTCCTGTCTCTAGTTGAGGTAAGGTGTGGGACCTACGTTAATTGCCTGATTTTGACATTGGTGCTGGGATTGTGGAGGGGGTGTTCTTGTTCTCAGGAAATACACGCTCAGATGTTTGGGGGAAGGGGGTCACGTCTGCATTTTACTCTCAGGTGTTCAGGAAAAATACACACACACACAGACATACACAGATACACAGATACACACTGATACACAGATACACACACATATATACACAAACACACAGATACACACAGATAAATACAGAGATACAAACACAGATACATCCTGATACACAAAGATAAATGCAGAGAGATACACACCCAGATCCACACACCCAGATACCCACACACACAGACAGAGAATAGTTAATATACTACAAGCATGTAAGCCGGGGTCTTCTCTGACAGTGACCAGCTCCAGCCAGGAGGCAGGAGTGGCCCGATGAGGGGGGTGCTCCCCAGCCGGGGGTGATGCCCACTGGGTGCAGCTGGGTGGGGAGATTCGCATCTCTGCTGGGGCGCCGTGTGCCCTGTGGGCGTTCTCAGCCTGCGTAGCTTCTGATTCTGACCCATCCTTCATCTAAGTCTGTCTGTTCGTCTGAATTTCCAGTGAGGAGTCCAGGCTCTCTGCAGGTCTCTTGAAGTTGAGCTGTTGGGCCCTTAGTGAGTGGTTACCATGCGGACAGCTGGTCTGAACCCTGGGTTAGCGTTCAGCTGTGTGCACCGTGGTCCTCACCTCGTGGACGCCCACGCCGAACTGGACTGGGTGGGCTGATGGCTCCCACCTACCTGATGCCCAGTCTGTGCCGTCAGGGTGTATAGTTAAGCCAGCCAGGCACGTCCTGTTAGGGAACCAGACCTCAGGAGCCGAAGCCACTCTCCCCTGGTCCCGCCAGAGTCATTGGACAGGATTCGAACCCAGGGCGCTGTGACTGCAAGGTCTGCGCTCCAGGCTACCTTGCCTGCTGCCCCCAAGTCTTTACCAGCTTTTTCCACGGGGACTGAAGCTGACGACCCTGTTTGGCCCCTCACCGCATGCCTCCGTTGTGTTGCCAAGCCCACTGCAAGCTGGGAGCTCAGATTCTGGGTTACTGGGTGGAGGAGGTACTGTGGATGCTGATTTGGGAGATATATATATTTTTTTGCGGTACGCGGGCCTCTCACTGTCGTGGCCTCTCCCGTCGCGGAGCACAGGCTCCGGACGCGCAGCCTCAGCGGCCATGGCTCACGGGCCCAGCCACTCCGTGGCATGTGGGATCTTCCTGGACCGGGGCGCGAACCCGCGTCCCCCGCATCGGCAGGCGGACTCTCAACCACTGCGCCACCAGGGAAGCCCCTGATCTGGGATTTTGGTGCTGGCCTTTGTGCTCCCAGTGGCCCCCTGCCTGTCTGGCATGTGCTGCTCCAGGGGTCCCCATGGCTGCTGTAGGGCTTTGTCATGTGTAAAGTAACGGGGGCTGCGTCTGTGTGGGGAAGGCAGTGTGCACTTGTGTGAGTGCCCGCTCTGTGCCCGCTGACTGAAAAGCAGCGTATTTTGTGCCAGCCGTGATTGTCGGAGTTGAAACGTGTGGATCCCTGGGTAGGGGCACGGGGCAGATGGCCAGGAATGGCCAGGGCCAGTGGGACGGCCGTGCTGTCTTCTCCAAGCAGGGAAGCGCTGGTCCAGGTCGGCGCACGGAGGCAGAGTTTGCAGCTGTTAGCGTTACTGCCCGTACGGACCGTGCAGGCTGAGTAATTTTCTCTTCTCTCCTCTAGTTCCTGTGTTTGAAGAACATTCGCACCTTCCTTAAAGTCTGCCACGACAAATTTGGACTCAGGAACAGCGAGCTGTTTGACCCCTTCGACCTCTTTGATGTCCGAGACTTTGGGAAGGTGAGTGGCCTCTTTCCGGGATGGGCCCCTCCACACAGAGCCCAGTGGGCAGGTGCAGGCCTGGCTGTGTTACTAACAGGAGGGGGTGCATCGGGGGCTGGGGCAGCGGGACGGCCCCTCCCGCCTCTCAGGCTGCTCAGGGTGAAGTCAGGCATCCTGAATCCAGGAGGATGGGGGGAAAGCCGGGCCTGGACGAGGCCAGTACTGGGGATGCAGCCCTGGCCCTGCCTTTCTAGCTGAGCGACCCTAAGCATTTACTTCCTGCCCCGAGTCTCCCATTCTTTGTGGGAGAAAGGGCACCGGCTCCGTGGGTCAGCTGAGGTGATGCAGGTACCGCTTTTACTGTGGCGCTCCGAGAAGGGAGCCGTCAAGGTTATCCTGAAACAAGCAGGGCCGTCTGGCTCTGAGCAGGTGTCGGGCAAGGCGGGGGTGGGATTATCTGAACTCCCTGGTCCCTGGAGGTGATTCCCTAGGTCCGTGGCAGATAACCCGGGAAGTGTCCCCGTGTTCTCAGAAAGTGTCCCTGGCAGCTGTCTGGGAGTCCTGCTGGCACAGGTGAGGGGAACCTGAGGCCGGGCAGGTAGGTGCAAAAGGCCAGGTGAGGGTATGGCTCATTGTGGCTTCCTGGTGAGCCTGTGTTCAGAGTGTCAAAGCAGGGTGTCACGTCATCTGGAAGCCAACAGTTCCAAGGTCCCTCATTTGAAAAGATGGGGTCAGGACGTGATACCTTGTTGATGGCTCGGGGGCCGAGGGCTTGAATCAGGCCTGGCTCTTTGCCGCCCTGTGGCCCAGCTGTTCCTGAGTTCCTGCGTGCTCTTGGAGGGCCCCTCCCTCTGCTGCCGGCCCAGGACTACCCGGGGCCATTTCCACCTGCTGATGGGAAATATCAGAGATATTTATTGCCTGCTTTATCTGAGGACCGTTATCGTAAGGGACCTGGTGTTTGCGGACAAGTTCTGTGAATACATGATTTATGAAACGCGAGGGGAGTTTTGTATTTGCACTTGCAAATGCTGAGGAGTCAGTTCCAAGAAGAGCCCTTATTTGAAGTGCTGTAAAGTGTCAAATTAGCATCAATGACTAGGCGTTTCCCATAAGCCACCTGGACCTGACGGTCCTCTTTAGTTCTGAAATTCTCTAGAAACGAGGTTCCAGGACCTGTTCAAGAGCCTGTCTCTTAGTGTCAGCACCCAGCTCTTAGCGGTTTCTCTTCTTCTCTTAAATGACTCACCCAAGTCCCTCTGGCTGTAGGGCAGTTGCCCGGGACTCTGAGGCCCCCTTCTTCCCCTCTGCCTGGGGGCATGTCTGCTGGGGCTCGGAGCTTGCATGGAGCTGTGCTGGTGTCCTTTCCCATAAGCGGGCTTTTCTCAGTTTTCACAGTCTTGCTTTGTAGATGGCTTAGAACCTCTCACCTGTTCTTATTTCTCCTTGTGACCAGCAGTGCCCTGGGCAGGGGAGAAGCCAGTGGCTCTGGACTTTGGGGAACGGCCTTTGGAACACACACACACACACACACACACACACGGACACACACACAAACACTCATACACACAACTGGTATTTAAAATAATTGCATAGAGGAAAAGACAGGATCAGCCCTGGCCAAACCCATTTCTTGGCCAGCTGTGACACACAGAGCGCCCGGCCTGTAGTAGGTGCTCAGTACTTTACTTGAGCCGAGTGCAGTCATGTAACACGTACATAAATTTGGATTCAACTCTCGTCACGTGACCTGCCAACCATGGCCGAACACTGTGAAAGGGGGCACCCCTTATGGTCATCAGCGGTTCCAGTGGGGTGGTTTGGCCGGCGGGGCGTGCCAGCTGCCTGCAGAGGGGCCGCTCGGGGCAAGCCAGGAGTGGGCAGGGGATCTCGACTGTGAGTCACGCTGTGGGGGCCGGGAATGCAACGCAGGAGCCGAGGGGCCTGGGCTCAGCCTCACGTCCTGCAGGGAGACCCGAGGCTCTGGGAAGGGCAGGGCTGCCCTGGTTCCGTTCCTGCCCTTCACGTCGACTCCGACAGACCTGGTTCACAACCTGGGTCCACTTACTGGCAGTGACTCTGACCCACCTCGGTTTGCCAAGGACCGCGTGGGCCGGGGAGCCCTCTGCCTGGTGCCCGGTCCGTAGTAGGTGCTCATTAAACGGCGGTGCCGCCCCCGGGTTTGGTGACCAGCACAGGTTGGTGGCAGCTTGCCCTCTCGTAGTTTCTCTGCATCGTTTTATTCGCGCAGACTTCCGGAGCCCAGCCTGGCCCTCCCACCGTCCTCCCCGTGTCCATCTGACAGCATCCACGTACTGCTCTCCCCCTTCCCCGCCTAGTTTTCTGAGCGCGGTAAACCCGCGGGCAGCAGCCCGAGCTGAGTTTGACGTGGGGCCAGCAGAGGCTGGGGCGCCGAGAGGAGCTTCTCCCCATGTGGGAGCCACTGACCAGAGCCTGCTTTGCTCGGCTCGTCCCCCCGACGTCCGGGGACAGGATCCCCTGGAAAGCACGCACGTAAGCAAGACCCCGGCTCCTCCCCGCTGCACCGCTGCCTGCCCTGGTCCCGTTTGGGGACTGTCCCCGCCCCAGGGCAGTTGTGGATGGGCAGGCAGAGCTGGGGCTCCAGACTGCAGGACGGGAGCAGGTCTGGGGAGGTCAGGCCCCTCACTCAGGTGTGACTTCCTGGGATGGGCTTGGGAAGGCCGTCACCATGTGAGAGTTGGCTCTGAGCGCAGAGACAGCAGACACTCGCCCAGGTTCCCACGGGCCAGATTCGCCTTTTGCCCTCCAGGAGCCCCATCCAGTGGGGACGCCCAGGCTAGTCCAGATGTACCTGGTGGTGCTCAGTGATGTCAGACCATGAAGATGTGGCGCTTGTTCTGCTGTCCCCCGACTGCCACCGCCAGCCCGGCGCGGGCAGAAGGATCGATCAGTAGGGTCGAGTCCAATCTCTGCCGACCGGAATTGCCTGGAGCCCGTGTTGAGAGTGACACTGAGGCCGATTCTTGCCTGGTTGGGAAAGGGCTTGGGGGTGGCTGTGGTCTCTTATGGGGGTGGGTGGGGGCAGGGATTTAAGGTTTCTTTTGCACTTTTTGCCTGGGTGTCCTCCACTTACATAGGATTCAGGAGCAGAGAGGATCCTTATGGGATAGCTGGCTAGTTAGTCTTAGGCTGGCTTAGAAATTTCCAGGTCTTTTTTTTTTTCTTTGCTATTACTGAAGGAGGCTTATAGCATTCAGGTCCTGTCTGGGTTCTGGGTGGTGGTGTTCTTCTACTAAACAGCTGCCTCTCAGCTTCCCAAGTCTCTCAATTGGAGTCATTCCTTGAGAAGCGAAAAGGCATTCATTCCTCGGTCCTTCCACCCATCTACCCGTTAAGCATTCAGTTGACCGAGAATTTATTAAACACTTACTATGGCAGAGATCAAACAGAGAGACTTGCATGACCTTTGCCTTCCGAGGGTCACCCAGATGAGCCGTTGTGCAGGTCACGGTAGAAAAAAGGGGTGGGAAAGTGAAGGCTCTGAACTCTGCCCCTGGAGCTGGCCGTGCTGGCCCACCGTGTGGCCGTGACCCCGGAGCCCTTCCTCTGCCGTGTGGGTGCGGAGCGGGTCCTGTGCAGTGTGAGCTCGGCTGCAGCAAAAGCCCCCCGTCGTAGGGGAGGGATCACCCCTCTTCCCAGGAAGCCACCGTGCGGAGTTGGGCTGATGCGCCGGCATATTCTTCCTGTTTCCAGAACCAGCAGGGTCCCCCACCCGCCCCCTGGCCCCTGGAGAGGAGCTGGTGTTTTGGGGTGCATGAAATTCCAGAAGGTGTTTCCTGACCCTGGGAGGAGCGCTGGGAGGGGCAGCTCATGCCGACTGGGCTCCCTCTGCTTCCCGGCCCGCGGCAGGCAGGTGGACCCCCGGAGACGCTGGAGGGCTGCGGGACCCCGGGTGCAGCCAGCCGTCTCTCATCCATCCAGAGCACGGCGATGGAGGGGGTGGGCGGCGGGGAGAGGGGCTTCCTGTCGGTTAGACCCAGTGTGGATCGCGCTCTGCGGGTACTTGGACTCTTTGAGCTTTCGTTTCTGCAGGGATAGAACGAGGACATGACGGCCCAGGGCGCGGTAGTGTCATGCGGCCTCAGCCAGGAAGCAAACACACGGGTCTTCTCATTGTTACTAGTAATTTGTCCCTCTGCTCACCCATCCGGCGAGCTCCAGCAGGCGCTGAGGGATCCAGAAAGTTGGTTCCGGAAGTCTTTTTTTTTTTTTTTTTTTTGGCCCCTGTCCCTGGTATTTTCTCGAATGGTCGCATTAAAGGTATTAGGTTTCTGCTCAAACCAGTCCCGTCAGGGAAGGTTTGAGCAAAGGGCCTGAGATGGGAGCTAAAGGCCAAGCCGCCTGGTGTGGAAAGCGGCAGCCGGTGGGGCTGGCCGCTGAGGCCGGGGCCCTGCTCCCTCCTTGATGTTCCTTCTCGCGTTCCCTCGAGTCCTGTTCTGGGCGTCCGTCAGATGCACAGGGCCTAGGAAGGGAAGGAGCGCGGGAAGGCCGAGTGGGCGGCCGGGATGGGCTGGGTCTTCCCGGGATGCCTTAGCGTGGAATCTGGTTGGTAGTTTTGGATGGAGGATCCTGGTGAGGCTGCAGGGTTTTTGTGGCTTTCTTCTGGTGTCTTGGTCCCAGAGATTGTGGATAAAAGTCACCGTGGAAGGACAGCCTCGTCTCCTCGCTGTGAGCCTCCTAAGTAGGGCGCTGAAGTGGTGGCTTTGCCAACACGTCTGGTCCCGCCTGGCATTGCTGCTGGGGTCGGTCCAGGCAGCGACCCTGGGCTGGCGACTTTCCCGGAACCTCATTTCCTCATCTGGAAGATGCGACTGGTCGTACCAGCTCTCCCCTGTTGATCGGAGCCCCACGGGCGCTGTGTTACGGACAGCTCTTCGTGTGGGCTGGGACCCGGTGGTCAGTGAACAGACGGAGATTTCATCATCATCTTCATTATAATCCTTTGTGGACCAGCCACCTACTGGGCGTGTTTACTT